ATACACCAAGATTTTGAGAACATTAATGGCATTAGGACCACTTTATGCTGCATTCTATTTTCATGAATGTGTATTTTTATACGATTGTTATCGGCCTTTTAAAATCAAAGTTTTATGACCCATAGATCGTTTTTAAGTTACTATATAAATAATATTACACTTTATAAAATTAATTAAAATGATTTAGATAGAAAAATTATAGAATGTATATACAGACAATGGTTTTGTGAACATTAACGGCATTAAGATTATGAATTTATATATATAGCGATTCTAATAGGCCTACTGTATTTAAATTAAAACGCATTTTACGCCCCACGGATAGTTTTTAATTGTCACTATATAAATAATATTACACTTCAATAAATTAATTAAAATGATTTCACTTAGCCTACTTTTAAAGAGTAGGCCTACATATATTTACATTGTTGAATGTAGGTTTCAAAAACATGTGCCTACGACTATACGGTATGCCATTACACAACAACAAATCTTTAGCTCAGTTTATTACTGTTGCTTACATTTTCACTTAAAATATTCCGCCATTGTATGAAAAGGACTATTTAAAAACATTTTAGAGCACAGTCTCCAGTCTGAAAAGAGGCCTGAACAACAACACAAGAATGGATACTGCAATTAAATCTAACACCATGAAGGTATACAGCCTTGTACAACTACAGTATGATACACTCTCTACTTACATATATGTATATTTTCTTACTTAGAAGAAACAACATTCCAAAATTCAATATTTCAGATGTTTTTGCGGCGACGTGTCTACGACACAGTTCGGGTAGTTCACATACACGCTTGTTCAACCGTAATTTGGATAGTATGAGACAGGTGCACAACCAACCAGGTATCTGAAGGAAAAATGCTGCCAAGGACAGTAGTGTACTACCAGGCTAAACCTACAATTGTGACCCAAGATCACGAAAGAGCTGTAAACTCATACTCTATCAAAATGTTTTGTTTTTTTTTTGTTTTTTTTAAATGTAAATGAATAGAGCACATCATTAACGTTACAATGAGGGCTCAGTGACCTTAATCGGACAATTATGTGTAAAGTTAAGCTATTTTAATTAATAATTATTCTCTATAAACTGGCCTATAAAGTTCTGAGCAAAAGAGCTTTAAAAGTACTAAAGAAATTGAAGAAAAATCATAGCAGCAGTCGAAGAAACTCCTTAGCAACGACACAGTTCCCATTGAGCTATTGCGATGTAATTTTCTACGGTTTGCTGGAAATAGGTTGGGGTACAGAAATCTTCTATTTTTAAGTCGATACCCCAGGGAGTTAATTAGTGATACCCTGGGGGAAATTAGTTATACCTTTATGAAGCTGAAACATCCACGTACTGATTATGGCATCCCTATTGTTCTGATGAATTTAGTAAAC